CCCACTTACCGTTTTCGGTGACTTGGGCTAACAATGCCACCCCCCCCCAAGGGAAGGCTAAAATCCTCTGCTCAAAGAGATTGATCGAAATTGAGGACGAGAGAGACACAATGACACGGACAGCGATACGATAAACCACCGACTGGGTCCAGAGATTCGCTAGATCGTCGGGGTGCACCACCAAAAATAAGGATAGCTACATTTCTTAGGGTTCCCGGAAAAAAAAAAAAATCAGGGTAAACGGTCGAGTTTGAGATCTTAATAAACCCATCTAAACAAGCACTTATTCTATTTATCAATGTCTTTATTTAATCTGCGGACTCGATGGTCTGAAATCCTGCACGGCGGGAATAAGAATCGAAGCAAATATAGCGGGATTGGGGCGGGCATTCCTAGATAAAGAGAAGGGAGAGAAAATATACCAATTTTCTGTTATCGTAGATGTGGTTGTGATGCACCATCCGTACATAAACTAACCACACACCACTTTCAACCGCATCAGAATCACCACACCCCACTGAGTAAGCACCAGATCGAACATCAAACCGAGCAAGTAACAAGCACTGGAGAGAAGCAGGCAACAAGCAGGCAGAAATCGAGAGATGCAGTGGAAGGGTGGGGAGATAGACTACAGTCCACTGGCAGCAGTAAAGAGAAGCGGCCGGTAGGTTGAGGCAGGGTACAGTAGGCTGTTTCTTGTATGTGAAAGGGGGGGGGGGAGGTCTTGGAGAGGCGATTTCAATAGACGTGCCATTGGATGGATGGAGCAAGGGTTAGGAAAAATGAAATAACAAAAAAGGGAGTGAGTGGAAGTGGAAGGGTGGAGGAGGATTAGTGTGAGATGGGAGGAAAATGCAAGTCCCTAAACACAGCATCAGGCTAGCCCTTGTCCGCGCAGTTGTGAGGAGGATTCAAGTATGATACCCATACATGTATCATATCATAAGGACGAGGACGATTGGCAACCGTTTCCTGAACCCCACTCAAAGAGGGGGGGCTTGGGTCGTTTCTCTTGGCAGCTTCTCGGTGGGCTTGCCACAACGTACTCGAGCAGTCGGATCACCCGCAGTGTTGGTGGGTTACCGAGTTGTCTTGTCCCAATGCCAAGTCCTCCGCAGCTGGGTAGGTATGATATGGTGTGTGTAGCGAAGAGCAATCGATGCTCAGGGTTGGGAGAAGGGTTTGACTGGTTCACGCGAGACAAGTGAAGTGAATTTGTGCTGAGGGCAGGGATGGTAAATCAATGTAAAACCCTGAAAATATGATCCATCACATTTATCCAAAACCTCCCCATCCGAACTGAAATCTTACCCTCGACTCACATAAACTCAATCACCCAAGTGAACTCAGTCAGTCAGTCAGTCACGCAGTCTGTAGACTAGCCCGCGAGCACTAAAAGTCACTCATCCATCCATTCATTCATTCATCCCTCCATCCATTTATTCATTCACTCGCTCACTCGCTCAAACACCCACTTTCCCCTTCAACGCTCTCATCAGCCCCCCCCCCCGCTCTGCACTTTTACCATCAAATATGCTGTGGGTCTCCATGGGGCGGGAGCATTGCAGTCGGGGCTGCAGGTGACCACCCACCCTGCCTGTTACCTCCGCCTAGGAAGTCTACTCGAGTACTCGTACTGTACTCGAGTACATGATTACAAGTACATGTATTGTGTGTGTGTACGAGTACCGGTGGTAGTGCATCCAGTTTCTTTTCATCACCTACAAGTACAATACGTGCACACCACAAATACCAGACTTTCCAGCAATACCGGTAGCCTAAGCGATAACGTTGGCCGTACTCGGACAAGTGCTTGCACTGTATTCGAGTACCGGTATACAGTAGGGTGATATCTGGTGTCTTGATTGTTTTATTAAATTCTCATTTCTAACTTCTTCCCTGCCTTCCTCCTCCTTCCCTCCTTCCATCTCCGCTGCCATGAACCGTGCCGAAAAGTAATTGTGATACACATAAAAAATAAATAAAAATAAAAATAATAGCACAGTGATATCATGCGCAGTAAGTAATCCTACTCGGGTACAAGGGTAGTGGGAATGGCCTTCATGAACTCGTGTTGCCGATCCGAAACGAAACGCTAAAAAGCATCCCAGCAGACGGCAAGACATTATCGGTCCAAACTGAAATATCGCACACTAACCGATTGAGGTAGTCAACTATGGCAGAACACCTTATTTTTCCGATCCACTTTGCAAGCACTTGCAGTATTCACATTTCAATCACCCACCAGTACTCGTACTTGTCGAACTTGGGAAGCTGTTCTCACAATTGCCAGCCTCAGAGGTTGCTTGGATGAGCCAGTGTGTGATATAGGTATTTCGTACCGTATTCCGATCGCGGAGTGCGACCTTTTTTAGGGGTTTGTCCTTTCCTTAATTTTGATTGACTTTTTTCCCCCTTTGCCCTCCTTTCGGACAGAATATGGAGCTGACTCTATTCATAGAAAGAAGTTCTACACCACCCACACGTTCTATTCTTTACTGCGGTTGGATTAAGTTACGAGAGATTTCTGGTGTTTGGAAAACAACAACACAGGACGGCAGGGATGGATTCTCGAAACGGAACGGGAGAGGATAAGGTGCATATTATAGCCATGTGGGGGACGACGTCGTGACATCGATGTCGGTGAGATAGAAAGAAACGAAGATACGGTGGTGGGTCCACAAGTGCTGTCGGTGGCAGCGAGGAATAGAAAAAGAAAGAAAAGAAAAGAAAAGAAAAGAAAGGAGGGAGCAACAAGAGGAAACAGGAGGTTCATGGTCAGCGTGCACTGCCGTGAAGCAAAATATCTCCCTGGTAAAATACACGAAGGTACCGAAGCTGCCGTCCTGGGGTCGTTGATGAGGTTGAGTGACTGGGCCACCACCACCACCACCACCACCCAACTCAGATTATCCTATTATCTGGGTTGTCTCAACCACGCAGGTGGTATTTCATGGCGTTCTGGACTAACGCGAAGCTACCTTTCGACTACTAAATGGAGGATAGTGAGAAGGAGCTCACAATGAGCATGGGCCCTTTCTTCAACCCAATGGAATTTCCTTACTTCCGTGATACGGTACCGCTGTGAAATGCATTGTGGTTGGTGTGTGAAGGAGTGTGGGAGGATTTTGTGGGAGTTCCGAGTGCGGAGCGTGTGTGAGGGACAGTACGGATATTTACCGTACCAGTCTGTATCGATCGCTTTTGCGCCGTACCCAGATACCCAGATAGAGAATTTATCACGAGCTCCTGAGAAGACTTCCCACGATGTCCATTGCCAATGGGCTATACAATTGTACGAGCACACGCACTTTACGCCGTACCTAGATACCGTTAGACGGATATCATACTCGGGTGCAGAGATAGTGCGGGGACTGAAAACCGGCTGCGTTTTTTGTCTGTTCCTGCTTAGTCATACACGCAAAAAATGAAAAGGGATCGAAGTATCATACCTTGGCATAAATTTGTAAATGCTTTCACATTTTTCAAAGTGCCCCCCTTACTATTCTCAACCAATGCTCACTATATCAAAAGGCAGGGCTCACGGAATTAAAAAGGAGTTGATTTTAAGTAGTTCTATACAGAGCTCTTCTCTAGAGGCTTTTGCTGTTGGTAGGGCCCGTTCGTTATTAGGTTTGGTTTGCTTGTGGTGATGGTCGATTTGAGACTCCTGGCGCCGTATCACTCCCGGAGCTCTAGGCCAGCTGCGAAGATCATCCTTAACATCTCAGAGGAGCACCAAATTGCCAGGGAGGTTTTAGAATGGAGTGGGCATTGTCTGCCTGGATTGTTCTAGAGCAGGGGCGAGGAGGGTCTTCTAAGCTTAGCGTATATCACTAACTTTTTCGTGTTTTGGGATTTGAAGCGCCCATTTTCCCGCCCCTGAAGAGCACCTACAGTATTGATGTAGAACCATTTGTTTATAGCACTATGTATTTACAATGCCTATGATTCACCGTTTCTACAGAAGAGCGCTCAGAAGGGAGCAGCTCATGGCAATGGCTTAGTGTGAATCCTGTAGACTATCTCGAAAGTGAGAATTTGACTGAACTGGCCTCTTAGCCTACTGTAA